ATATCATGTTGAGGTAAATTGATGATTTTTGTTGTTGTTGGCTGTGTTAAAACTTGTTTCCTTCTTTATCTGATACAAAAATGCAGTCAGCACAAGTAAGTTACTTGGAGTTTTTTCAAAGTTCGTTCAGTACTTACGAAATAGTTTCCCTCATACTTCTCGGGACGTCTTTTGCCTTCTCGAAGTTTAGAATATGACAAAAAGTCGATCTGATCGCTCACCTAAAATTCGGATTTTGGGTGTTTGTTCAACGATAATGTCAGACTTCTCCGGCAGTTTAGTCTTGAGTCACTGTCCTCTTGCTGTGTTGTTGTCATATTTGACAGATTCGACAACATTTCGATCATTTCTTGACATGGTTTGTCTTCTTGTATGGGGTCACGGTTGAGATAGCAGGAGTAACTTTACCGGCATTCGTATTTGAAATTCGTTTCGATATACTTCTCTCTGTCTACACGGTTTATCAACTTAAGGGTCAGATCAGATCTTAAAACAGTCGCACAGACGACTAGTCGGATGACGAATGGAAGAAACGGCTAATTGATGGACAGACGGCTTGATTGAATGTCTTTTTCGTTAACGCTGTCAGCCTCATAAACAGTAAAGACAACCAACCTTCCAACACCAATGGTAGATATTTTGATTTACGATATGGAATCCTTCTTAATGGGTTCTACACAGGAATTGCTAGGCGAACTTGTAACCAACACGAGCGCTTTCCTTGTCTTCACTAGCGAAAATCTGGGATAAAGATAAGAAGTACGGTCTGGTAACAAAAAATCAAGATAAGTAGTTGCTACGTCAGCAATCCAACTCCCGCAATCACTACATTATGCACTTGTGATTAGATGGGACCTGCGAATATCTAAGTACTATGCACATTACCATGCATGTTACTCCGCATATTATTTGCATGACCAATAAGTCTCTCCTATCTCATATTTTACAGTTGGGCTATGGACACAAGTCTATTGACTTGGAGTGAGTGGAAAAATGTTGCGATGTATACCTTATTATAAAGATGCTCGTGCAGCCTATCATGTAAAGCCTCGATTTGAATGATTGGTCGTTCAATTTTCAGAGCACGTAGCTTAGCCTCTCAATCTCATGCCGTAATTACATCTTCTCGCAAGAGAATGATTTGAAACAAATAAGATTGATAGCCGTTTTCATTTCTTACTCTTTTTTTGCCCAACACGATCCATTTTAGACGGATCTTTGTGATGTGAGAATTTTGTAACCCGCACATTTACCCTCTTAATGTACAATGGTCAGTCTAATAGATTGGCCTCTAACAGTCTTTATACGTGTTGATATGCTTCAGCACCAGAAGCTGTCTACCGATGTAAATACACCACAACCCATTTTCAGCGCGCTTCAATTTGAGGACAGAGGCGATGAATGCACAGTGGGCATTCTTGTACTTCTGTAAGAATGTCAAGGCAAATTGAAGACAATAGCCAGAAAATTTTCTAAAGATTATTGATTTTTTGTTGATTGTAGATTATGATAATTTCTCAAATGCTAAACATTATTCCTCTCCATCACGCAATATATTGGTGATACGTTCAGTTTGATTGCGTTTGGGTATTGAAAGTACAGTAGATCATACCGTGCGTCCGAAATTCTAACTTCAATAACATCTTCATTCTTTAATTTCGTCTGTCACGCATTCCCTGTACGACGAAATTCGTCCGATTTTCCCCCGTCAACGCCGCGGTCGTCGTTTTGCTTGCATGCACTTTCGTCCGCACTCCTTACGAAGAGACCCAACAAGGAACTCCAAATTTGAATGCTGGTCCTATGGACATGATCATAAGCGCTACCGTTCGATTAAGTAAAAATCTCAGAATAGATGACGCGCGCGACGATGTAGCTAGCCTGGGTGTTTCCCCGCGATTTTGACCAGAAGGAGGTGACTATGCTGATTCTATATTCTGACTTAGCAAGAAACCTCTCTTTATCCAAAAAAAAAAGATTCCAGGTATGATTATGTCCGGTGTCCGTTATCCCTAGAAGCAGTAATAGCAACTCATTTCACTCTTCTCGCAAAAAAGCAAGCTTAGTGTAACATTCTTATCTTTCTATATTGTAGACTAAACAACCATTATTAACGATTTTAGATTTACGATTAAAAAGGCAGTCCATGACTAGTCCATAAACTCCGCTGAATTTCGTGCCGATTTTGAGAAAGCTAAGCTGCCACGGCAGCTTAGCTGAACATAAGTATAGCACTTGTATCATGGATCAGAGAGCTTCTTGATGATGAAAACGACTGGTAGTGTGAATGTAAGAATCAAGGCGCTTTGATATCACAACAAGAGGTTTCGTACGGCTCAGTCAGATTTTTGAAGCCATTTGATTCACGGTCAGCTAGTATCTGTTAGCATTATTAGTCTTCTTTTTCATTACTTTCCCAATCACAGGCACTTACACATGCATTATGATGCTTTTGTACAACCTCTTCGTTCACAGCAACAATCTGAAGAATACAGTGGTAGTCTTGGTAATGGCTTAAATTTTGACCTTTGTCTAAAATTCTGTTGAATTCTTTGCTTAGGTGTGCACAGTCGCATCTTGACAAAGGCCTAGGGACGGGATAGCCCACGGTTGGTGTGAGTATGAACATTCCAAGCACGATCGTAGCTCTCCTGGCATTGAATACAATAGGAACGAGTGGATAGTAAATTGGCTGTACCGAAAGAAAGAATCAATAAACTCACTTTACATTTCCATTGTCTACCTATCATTCCTAAATAACATGTGCAAGAGGCAAACATTAAAGCTGTTCATAATTTGATCATCTACTTTGACGAGTTTCTAGAATGACCGTTTTTTGAAACGCTAACTTCTTTAATCGGTTAAAGTTCTATTTTTAGTGTTCAAAACAGATCATTTACGCTGTAAGAATGGACCATATTAATCGCTCGATAAGGTGTCGATCGCACTCAACAATTTGTTGCATGCATAAACAATGCTTCGCCTTTTCCTGTACGATCTACGAAAATCAATCACTTAAGAATTACTCTATCAAAATTGGAGTACATTTTTTTCTATACCGCTAATAGTAAGTCTGCCTTCGATCGTGAAGGCATAGCGTTTGAAAAAAAAGACTGCATTGACTTGCCAGGAGTACATGTGCGATTAAAAAAAACTAAGTCTTCGAGTAACCAGTTGCAAGTAAGATACAAGATGTGATTAAAATAGAGCGAGCACAATAACAGCCTAGTTAATGCGTGGTGTGGAGGTGGGCTAACGAGGAGACTTCACACCTGCCATACAAACAAAAAAAAGAAATCGATGTCTCTCCTAATAGTTCACGACATGTCGGAGTTAAAATCGCAAATAATGTTATGAATGGTACGTCGTCTGTGTTATGTCTAACAAAGCATCGGGTGAATTGACCTCGACACTTACGGCAGGGTTGTGTCAACGCCATTCGAAATGGAAATTACCTGTACGGCACAGCGTTGAGCCAAACGCATAGATCGAGACCAAAAATTGAAGTAAGACTTTCCTGTGATAAGACCGGTCTTTCAGTGTGAACAGATTTAAGGAGATAGCTCGTTTGTGCGCAATAAGCTCAAATATTATAAGCGAGGGCTTGCATGAGTTTTGCCAGAAGACTGCACGTGCTAATGTAAACATAATATTACAGGCCTACTTTACCAGTAGACATTCCACAACTTTTATACATGAAGACAGCCGGGTGTACCACTGTGTACAGGTATACTTTTGAAGTTCTTTTTGCCAGCCAAATTATGTGTGGAGGACAACCACGACAAGCTAGTTCTTGCTGACCTCTTCAAGTGCGGGCTATCGTCGTTATTAAAGCAATATACTGATATTGATGACATAAAATGTTTGTCGTTATGATTGCAATCCGCAACATTTCACCAACACTTGTTTAAAAAATGGCTAAGCATGTCAATTAAATCGTCTCATAACATTGCAATCAACAAGAAGTTTTTCTTTGCCAAAGTTGCTGAATTTTAGCGATAGATATTTTTGCAAATAACATGCGCGGATATAAATTTTATGGTCTAGCGGATGATGTCTTAACAAAATCTATCCCACTTTCTCTGTCGTAGTACGATTTAGGTTGTAAATCATAACATACGACGAAGGGTTTCGAGCTTATGCTTAAAGCCCCCTGAGTAAACCCTACCCACTCTGTAGCTAGACTTTGTTCATTGAGGAAACGTCCCGCTGAAAAGAGAAAATGAAGCTGTTAAACCATACCACAAAGCTAATTGAGGTACAAACACATGTAATTGAGTGCCGGCGAAATAGTCATAGCTGCAACATAGTCCTTTGAAGTTATCGGGAGACGTCATAAAAACACTCCTACCCGCCGTTAATGCTTCATGCTATTCGGCACTGGCTGGGATAAATATCAGCTTCCTTGCATATTTACGTGAGCATCTTGGTCCGAGTGCGTCAGCATATATGTAAGCTGACGTTTCATTTGATGTAGTCGAGCTTAAAGATTCTTTATTGTATTATCTCGCGGATGAAGTGAAGCTTGAGGCTCACACCTTTCTTCCAAGCATGGTTGCGGCGTTGTTTAATAGAGCAGTATTTCCATGGTTGTCCTGTGCTTTCCGTGTTCTAATTACTCATGTCATTCAGCGTCGCATGCGTCCAATGAATATCTTGACTGGAAAGGCTAAGATACACGTACCTTGCCTACGTTAAGATGAGAGCAACGGCTAACATAGGTACTTTGGCTTGATCCCACTGGAGTGCCTGCAATCACGACCATACTCTCCTCAGAGGTTGTAGGTCCCAAAGGAACCAGTGTGAACAGCGTCGTCCAGTGTACTTCACCAGAGCCCTGGGCCATTAACAACATTCGACGAAAAGCTGCTAGTCTTCGTCCAGTGGATAACGTGCCGCTCTACGCGCAACTAAAGGGCATTGCCCAAGAAGCCTCGGACTTCGTCTACCATGCCACTCGTGGCATGCAGCGACTGCTTCGAAACGTGAGCAGTACTGAGTGGATTATGTGCCACCCCACGTGCATCATTAGGACCTCGCCCTCGATGCCTCGGACTTCACCTGACCATGCTAATCTTGCCATGCAGCAAATACTTTGATACTTGAGCAGTGCTGAATGGGTTACGCGCCACTTTACGTACAATACTAAGGCCTCGTCGTTAACGCCTCACTGCTTGGCCGACCAAACTACGCTTGGCATGCAGCAACTGCTTTGATACTTGAGCAGTGCTCATTGGGTTACGTGCCACTCCACGTATTAGCCCGCGAGACATGATCGTGACTCCTGTTCGCTAATATTCGGTTTCACCAGCACGGGTGCCCGAATCTCAAGCACGTTGACCGTCTCGGTCCAGTGCTCACACTAATTGCGTTTTTGCCTCCTAGCAGTGGTGAGTATATTACACCAGGAGCCGTGCGCGTAGCACACGAGTTCTTTAAACTCCATTCGATCCATAGATCATGCTGATTTTTTTAACGGGGTTACACCTACCCTGGTAACAGGGATGCGTGTCACACGAGATGGGCATGGTGTTACTGCACCCAAATAAGAATACAGTACGTGGCTGGGTAGCCAGTAGTTATGCATGTATTTAGATTTTTCTATAAATTTAGGGAAATCTATACATTTTGAAATTAGGCGGCATTGCCGCAGATAAAACAAATAAATACAGCTTACATTTTAAACAGAAGAGTTGTATAGCCTTGAGTCGAGGTTCTAACTACTTTTGGAGGTAGCGAATTGCGATCCGCTACACTCGTACTGGTTCTTGTGAAGAACGTAAGGTCGGTGACCTAACTTACGCTTCCTGTAAGCGCTAACCTACGGCAGCCCCGCTGCACTTGGTAGCACTTGTAGTCAATCTACACCTGAGTCGTTTAGATTGATGCTGTGTAAGGATGGTACAAATTTCTTCTTTGCTCTGTCAATTGCACCAGCAACATTTAATCGTCTTGTGAG